CCCTGGGGGGGGGGGGGACACGACTGCTGTCCTTGTCCCAGCTGAGCCCAGTCCCCTTGTAGCCTGGGGGGGGAGTGTGCAGGAGGGGCTTTGAAGCTTCCCTGCCTAGGGAAAAAACAGTAGCAGCAGGTGTGAGATGGGGAAAGGGGAGGGAAGGGGATGTACTTCTGAGCAGGAAGCAGGGGGATGGAGGGACACAACTCTTACCTCCTTTGGTGACTTAAAAAAATTCTCCCTAGGCTCCAGCATCAGTCTACCCACACCTGGGGCAGCGGGGGGCTGGGAACGGAGTGCAGCCACCCCTGCTGCATGGATGGTTGCTCTTGCACCCCCCTTTGCCAAATCCTGGATACACACCAGGCACACAAGCATCTAATGGCATAAGCCCTGCAGGTGACTGCCATCAGCTTGAAGCAACCAGTATGGTTTTAGTGACACAAATACAAACCAGCTGAAGGCGACCAAAGAGCAGCCGCAGGTGAAGTCACAGGAAGGCAACTTGAGCCGCTCTTCAAGCTCCGGCTTCTAATCAAACCCTGCTGAGCACCTTATGACTGAGAGAAACAGATAGGTCTAGGTCAGGGGCGGGCAATTATTTTGGGCAGAGGGCTGCTTACTGAGTTTTGGCAAGCTATCATGGGCTGCATGACAGGCAGCCAGAGGCAGATTAATATTAATTTTCTACATTTTTTTAGGGGCCCCGTGGGCCAGACAGAATGGCCTGGTGGGCCACATCCAGCCTGCATTTTGCCAACCCTTGGTCTAGGACAAGCCACAGGACAGCTCCTTCCAGACCGCCCCTGTGCCCTGCGCCTCCCTGGCCCACCACAGCCTACGCCGCATGCCACGACCACGGCAGGGGGAAAGGCAGGCAGGCAGGAGTGGCCCACGTGGAGGTGTTGATGTTGGGGGCAGGATGCCTGCACGCGGGCGAAGGCGATGCCTACGGCTAAGGGGGACGAGGAGGGAGGCCAGGCCCACGTGCGTGTCACCTGCATGTCACGAATGTCGCGCACAAGTGGGCTCGGGGTGACAGGCCATGGCGAGTGGGCGCTTTCCCTGGGCGGGCAGGGCAGGGCCGGGCCGCACCAGCCTACTCACGGCCCCGCTGAGTGTCGGCGCCCGCGAGGATGCTGCGGTCGCGCACGGC